TGTGCCTCGTACCAACACACATACATGTACACCTGTACCCCCCACACATCCTGACACGCATCTATGCCTGTACCCCCCACATGTGGACACCCACCCATGTACACCTGTACACTCGCACCAACACCCATGCGTGCACACCTGTACTCCCCCACATACCCTGACACCCATGTGCACACACCCCAACACTCATGTACACACACTCATACCCATGTGCATACACCCATTCCCATGCACACACTCCAATGCATATGCGCACACACTCCTACCCAGCCATACACACCCTGACACCCACACACACGTAGCTATGTGCACACCCCAACACTGACACATGCACACCCCATCCAGACACACACCCCACCACCCCCGACATCCCCACATGCGCAACTGTACCCACGCACACACCCCATGCATACCTGCACCCATACACATATGTTCTGACACACACATGTACCCCCACCACACCCTGTACACATTCCCCCATATGAACACACACCCAACCTCCCCTACACCCTCCACGTATGTACCAACACACACACGTGCCTCCCCCCATGCACATCTGCATGCGTGCGCACGTATACACAGTATAACAGTCCTTATAGCAGTGCTGTTTATTCTGGTTCAGGAAGCTAAATAAGCTATGTTAATATAAGTTGCTTTTCTGTGGGCACAACTACATCTGACTAAGGCTTGGATCCATATAACTATACCGGTTAAAAAAGTCCCACTCCTCCCTGCCTTGGTTACACCAGAGTAACTGTTCTGGTGCAGACCAGGCCTCAGGGACTCCTGGTCCTATTCCATTAACTTCAGAGACGTACACCGGGGATGAACATGGGGTCCATTTTACCCAGCTTGTTTCTCTTCTGGAGCTAGGTGGATCCGTGAAGCTGTAACCTCAGGGATGTGTAACTATCATGGAGTGATAGATGCTGGTCTCTACAATATAGCAACCCAGCTGTCCTCTACCCTGTTCTGCCACCATGTGGCCATTCTACTTCCTTTCATTCATTTTAAGCTCGCTGTCCCCCCACCCCACCTCTGATTCCCTCAGTCCGATCAGACGGTTTGTTGCTCCTTGGGTGCTGGGCTTGTTTCACTAAATCCAGGGAGCTGGACAAACTTTGGAGTGAGGCTTGGAGCAGGTCACACAGATCTTCACACTAGTGACAGAGGAAAGCAGGAATCGGCGTATCGGATCAAACCAACCGTCCCACTAGTTCAGTTTCCGGCCAGTGCCACATACTTCAGAGCAAGGTGTCATGGTTCAGGAAAACCACGCCTGTATTTCCCCTCAGTGGTCCAGCAAGGCCCCCTCTTACAGGCTTCTGGCTTCTCTCGGGTGAAGACACGTGTCTCTCTCCCTTCTGACCAGGGTATTTCCAGGCTGAACAAGTCCCTGCCTTCACTGTGTTATTCCCAGCAAAAGACAGACTGTCCTGTGTCCTCTCTATCCCCAAAGCAGCCAATCAACTCCCAGGAAATGGAAGCAACCCCCCCCTTGTTCAAGTACAGCAGCTCTGCATTTAACCCTTCCATTTCATTCTCACTGCTGAGCTGCAAACACAGGGAATGTTCTGCACATGGGTGGTGGCGCAGCCGCCAGTTGAGGGTTCGGTGGGGGACAGTTTTGCTTATTATTATGCCCCATGCAGGTTCCGGGGTGGCCAAGGAGGCGGTATCTGCTATTCAGCTTTCTGGGTTCACCAGTAATCTCCCTGAACCCAGGAAGCTGAGTGACACATACCACCTCCTCAGCCACCCCGGAACCTGCATGGCTCATATTAAAAGCGCAGGTTCTTCTTCTGGAAGAGAGACAAAACAAGAGCTTTTCCCGCAGGGCGGCTTGGGGTCTGGGGAGGTGCAGCTGGGGGAGGGGAGGGGCTCCAGCTGGCCTGGGGCTCCTCTTGCCATAGGAGGGGTGGAGGCTCAGGGCTCCAGCTGGCCCAGGGCTCCTCTGGCGGAGGGTGGGGGGCTCATGACTCTGGTCGCCCCCCACCCTCCGCCAGAGGGGGGCAAGGAGTCTCAGGGCTCTGGCTGCGGGAGTGGTAGGGGGCTCGGGGCTCTGGTTGTGGCAGGGGGGGAGGAAGGGGCGGAGCCAGAGACTAGCCTCCCCGAAAGGGGGCCCCACCCGCCACCAAGAGTTCTGTATTTG